CGGGCATGTGTAAGAGGAACTTCCTGCGAATGCGAGCAGAAAGTCGTTTGTGCTAACATGAAGCACAAGAGTAATCGTACTCCTATAGCCCTATACACCCCAAACCCGAAGTCTGTTAACCCATAAACTCCAAGCCCTAAACCCTGAACACCTCCAGTACCCTTATCGCAACTTAGTAACCCATATAGATCCCAAAGAAAACCCTCGAAGCCCTAACACAGTTACCCCACGATCATCCGCCGTCATCGTCGTCCTCTCCTGCTCCAGACCTCCCCCAAACTCGTGACGCGGGCTTGGAGCCCCCAACTGCGTAAGCTCTGAAACCCCAACGCCAAGCCGCTTCTTTGCACCAACCGACATCTAGAGCCCTAAAAGGCGGGCATGAAGCAATTTGTTGTTGGGGCATATTAGCTAGCATCAAACGCCACTACACTGACGCTCATTCTCCCAAAGCTTTGCACTAAGTTAGTCTCGACATGTGTCTTGCTGCTGAGGACTCTGAATCCGACTAAGTGGAGGGCAAGTCAAAACTGCAAGCTCAGGGTTTAGGAGGGTTTGCGGATCTCGGGTGTAGGGTCTTCAGTCTTTAGGGTTTAAGCAAGATGTCGGTTTCACATCTTGCCAATTCTTATGCCAGCACCACAATGCAGCGTGTTTGCACTCTAGTACGTTCGGACCGGTCTAAATTTGCACGCTTAGATGCCCAGCCTACCCAGGACTCGAGCTGCTGCTGCATCTGTGGTGGTACCTGTCATGCATGGTAGACGCTTGGTGAAGGATGCTAACACTTCGCGCATGCAGAGGTCCTTCCCACACATTGGAAGCCGCATTGTTGCGAAAGTCCGTCTGAACCCACAAGCCACAGAAACGGACTGCACTTGGATAGCTACTAGGTTGCCACATCTAACCATGGGAAACGGGGGTTGCTAAAATTAGGGTGCACGGTTTTTTGGGTTACATACTGAGACACCCCTGATTTCAACAATGATGTTGCTCATGGTATCGCCACCCTTAATGAAAGGACGGTTGAAGCTGGCGGGGTAGGGGCTTGGGGTTTGGGGTTTAGTGTTCAAGGTTTGGGTACATGGTTTAGGGTTCAAGGTATTTACTGAACCTCCCCGACTCCCCGCCGACAGAAGCTCAAAGTGCTTCGACATAGCCCAAGCGAGCTAGTTAACACTTGTGGTGGTCTCAAGACATTGTTGTAGAATCTGTATACATATGTGTATATATATATATGTATACATATAAATATATATATATATATATATATTAACTACGGTGTACCCTACGTACTATAGTATTACTAATATGTTACTGTACCCGATCGCCGAACCGTTTGGGACCAGAAAATCCGTTTTGGGGAGCTGTGGAAGCCACAAATGAATAACCCTAAACCCTAAACTCCCTAAACCCCAAACCCTGAACCCTAAACTCCCTACACCCTAAACCCTGAACCCTAAGGGCTCTCATATAATCCTTATAGTCACTATTACAGGGTGGGGGCAGCTTCTAACAAATGAACGAACTCCGAGCCCACAGGCGGGCGCACCTGCTGCAGTGTCTCGCGCAGGGCCACAAGCTCGTCAACGCTGTCCAAGCGGCTCGGCCGCTGGGCCTTATGTAGAGCGTTTCAGATGGGGTTTATCAGGGCTGTGAATGGTGTTTTATAATTACTCCGCAGGGTCTCATAAGGTGCGTATTATTGGGTTTGTCCAGGGCGTCATACAGGAGCATAATGGTTAGGATGCGTTCTTTGGGTTTTGGAAGGGCTTTATTGGGTTGAACAACTGAATATTCTCGGCCTGGCATAGCATGGGGACCAAACATTACAAACTCCACTTCCCTTCTTCAACTTCAAATAACCGGCAGAGGGTTTCTGTTCAAGCTGCATCGTCAAGCCGAGCATCAAATTGGTGACAATCTAGTGGTGGTGATGGTCGTCCCGTGCAGTGGCAGCAGTAGTGGTGGTTGCAGTTGGAGCAGCAGCAGAAAAGCAAGTGGTAGCAGTAGAAGTAGCAGTAGCAGTAGCAGTGGTGACGTAGTTGTACGTCGTAATCGTACTCGTAGTCCTCATCGCAACAGCAAGAATACTAGTAATTGCAACAGTAGAAGAAGTAGTAGAAGTAGTAGCAGCAGCAGTAGCAGCAGCAGCAGTAGCAGTAGCAATAGCAGTAGCAGTAGTAGTAGTAGCAGCAGCAGCAGGAGCGGTAGCAGTCGCAGTCGCAGTGGCAGTGGCAGCAGAAGTAGCAGTAGCAGTAGCAGTAGCAGGAGCAGGAGCAGGAGTACGAGTAGGAGTAGTAGTAGTAGTCGTCGTAGTAGTAGTAGTAGTAGTCGTCGTGGTGTGGTGGTGTAGTGGTGGTGGTGCTGGTGGTGGTGGTGGTGGTGCTGGTGCTGGTGGTGGTGGTGGTGGTGGTAGCGGTAGTGGTAGTGGTAGTGGTAGTGGTAGCAGTTGCGGTGGCAGTAGCCGGAGTCGGAGTAGGAGTCGGAGAAGTAGTAGTAGTAGTAGTAGTAGTAGTAGTAGTAGTAGTAGTAGTAGTAGTAGTGGTGGTGGTAGTAGTGGTAGTAAGTGGTAGTAGTAGTCGTGGTGGTGGTGGTGGTGGTGGTGGTGGTGGTAGTAGTCGTGGTGGTGGTGGTGCTGGTGCTGGTGGTGGTCGTGGTAGTGTTGGTGGTGGTGGTGGTGGTTGTGGTGGCGGTGGCGGTGGCGGTGGTGGTGGTGGTGGTGGTGGTGGTAGTGATAATTGTAGCGGTGGTAGTAGTAGTAGGAGGAGCAGGAGAAGCAGTTTTGTCATAGCAGGTAGATTTTTTGAAGAACAATCCATGAGGACTCTGGAGGCCAACAGGACTACAACCGCCATTGGCTGTTTCCTGCGACGACGAATCCCACGAACTGTTGAAACCTGGCTGCTGCTAGATTGTCGTTGTTGCCATTCGTTGAGTTTGAACTGATGACTGCGGCGAGAAGTATGAGTAAGGCTTGCCAGTCATGACAACATTGTTGTCGTTGAGCCTGTGAAGTGTTGCTTCTGCTATCTCGAGCATCTGCATCTACGTGTGGTGGTAGGCACGCCCTGAGCCAAGGACATTCAAATCCAGGAGCTTGCCACCCGCTGCGTGCACCATGCTATCGAAACCCTCGTCACTGAGGGCCTGTTGAGAGAAAACGCGCGCGCACGCACAGGTGGAATTCTGAACCATGCTACGGCGCGGTGTCCCCGTTGAGTCATTCGATGACTGATGCAGGCATAGCAGAGGTGCATAGCGCTCCTCGGAGTCATTATCTTCGTTGTCGTCATTGTCGGAGGCCATTTGCAGCTTGCGCAGAACCTGTTCGGCGGAATATGGCAGCACCTCTAAACGCTGCCCACGGAGCTGATTATCATGAGCATAATTCCGGGGCTTCGATCATTTCCATCAGGTGTCGAGCGTGTTCGGTAGATCGATTCTAGCACATTTGTGAGATAAGAACTATCAAGACATGCTGTTTTCCCGCTTACTTCAGACCCCTATATCACCAGGCTGGTCGGTGAGCACTGAGAAATGTCTCTGTATCTGTTTATATGTATTCATACATATATATATATATATATATGCATATTTGCTAGTCTGTGTCTGCGAGGGAGTTAGATCATACGAGGAACCCCCAGAAAGGCACCACCCAAAAACCGGTACTCTTGGGGGCCCAATAATAAGGAACCCTCCCCCCACCCAAATAGTATAGGCAATTATTTAGGCACCTATATGGGAGTTTCGGAATAAAGGGGACCCTCATATAGTATCCTAGATAGTAGGATCCTTATTATACGGACCCCGAAAAGAAGGTGCCCCTAATTTTCGGAAACTCCCAGAATAATCCCCGTTATAGAACCCTGCTAGATCCCTTCTAGATCTCTTTGAGGACCATCTCGGCCCCTCCCTATCTTAGCTAGGTTGGCCCTTTAAAGCCTCTGAAAAATAATCGTAGATAGGGTCCTATTAAGCCCAATAAGGGAAAATATAAAATGTCCCAAAGGCCTACCTAGTTAGCATCACTCGGCAGTCTTTCATGAAACTCCCAGAGTAATCCCTGTTATTAGTTATAGAACCCTGGTATGATAGATCCCTGATAGATCTAGGCCCCTATCTTAGCATCACTCCACTGCCTTAAGGACCCTAAACTATGGGAATTATGGTATATTCCTTATTATGGGTCATGCAGGATTTATACCATCAACAGTAGTTTAGGGGGTTTCCTTCTTGTATTTATAGTATAGTCCCTAAACCCTAATCCTTAAACCGTAATCCCTAAACCCTCGGCATTCTTTCATGAAACCCTGGCCTGGTCCATCTGCCCTGGCTCAGCAGTCCCGTCCTCCTCTGCGGCTCTGGTTTTCAAGGTTTCAAGGTGTGATTATACGGCTTAGGGTTTAGGGTTTAGGGTTTGGGGATTAGGGTTTAGGGATTATTGTTTGGGGATTAGGGTTTAGGGATTAGGGTTTGGGGATTAGGGTTTAGGGATTAGGGTTTAGGGATTAGGGTGTAGGGTTTAGGGGTTACGGCTTTAAGGGTTTAGGGGTTTGGAGTTCAGGGTTTAGGGGCTTCGGGAGTATTGGCCATCGTAACTGCAAGTCGAAGCATTGGCGTTGCATCATTGTAGATAGAGTTACCAATACTACGGCTGATGATATAAATCCTGCACTACCTTAAGGACCCTAAACTATGGGAATTATGGTATATTCCTTATTACGGGTCATGCAGGATGTATATCATCAACAGTAGTTTGGTGGGTTTCCTTCTTATATTTATAGTATAGTGGTCACCAAGACCCTATTCTAAGTATTAAGGCCCCTAACATAGAACCTTACTATAGATACCTTATAGAACCCTACTATAGGTCCCTTATAGACGACCCCTTTTAGGAACCCTGTTCGAATTATTAAGGCCCCTACAGTACTGGCAGCAGCTGGATCCGAAGAAAGAAGACCATGCACCCGCGAAGCAACTTCTTGACCCCAGTCTGTGGCTAAGTGACAGCCGGGGGGTGGAAAAGGGGATCCTCTTTGAGAAAATCAGTTGAAGACCATGGGATAATATAACAAAACGAGAATATTTTTAATGATCACAATAATAACAATGATACAACTACAGTAATACAACAAACTCATGATTCGATATAATGGTGTAATCATATGGTAATGATACAATGTGGCGAGGGGTGTCCTCGCTGTCTGTATCCTCATCATTGGGCCGGCTCGCTGCCTGCGGGAGTTGCTGTACTTGGGCCGCGACACATGCATGTGAAGAAGTAGCTCCACAGTACCATGGGGGAAACGAAACCGCTCCCGAAACGCCACCTACAGTAGTAGATTTTAAGCCCGACACATTGGGGCTGGATATTCCTCGGATGGGCGCTCTGAGGCTCGGATCGGAGCCAACAGACTGGACAACAGTGCTTGGATAAGGTTGCATATACGTAATATACGTACATAATCTGGGGGCTCTCCTAATTGTAATAGGATTTTGGGGCCCACAATACTATACTTATGATAAGGAGCCCCCGCAAACAGTGCAGTTAATTATTTAGGCCCCTATATATGGCCGTCGAACATCGACAAGCGCTATTAAAACCTCACAAACCCGCCAAAACCCAAAACCCACTAAATTGGGATGAAGCACCGAAGCCTTTAAGACTTTCGGAGCTTATTAGCCCTGTGTTGGAACGCTTCGCTTAAAGTGCCCGCCGCGCCATGCTCGTTAATCTGCACTGTACATCCTGAACCCTAAACTTCAAACACCCCAAACCTTAAACCCGGAACCCCCTGGTTACACCTAATTACACCCTAAACCCTAATCTCAAGCCAGTCGGCCTTCTCCCTGAGTCGGATGGTCTCTTTGCTTTGGACGGCCAAGGTGGTGACAAGGTGGGGCAGTCCTGCTTTCAGGATTTGAGGGTTTATGATTCTATCTGTAGGGTTCTACATGTAAGGGTCTCATGGTCTCCAATAGCTAAACCCTTACAGGCAGGAGACGTCGGCAAGTTGATTGCAGTCCTTGGGCAAGGTTGGCCGGGAGTGCCTGCGAACACAGCGCTGGTTTAGGGTTTGTAGGGCTTAGGATTCAGAGTGCAGAGTTGAGAATTTAGGTTAGGGGGCTCCCTGCCTCGCCTGCTTTCGCATTTCTCAGCTGCTACTAGGTAATGGCTCATTTTTGTTCTAAGTTCTATCCGTTTCATGCTTCCTAAACATGCTAATACGCCGCATTCCCAGCAAGTCGTGTAATTTGGAGGGTTTCGTAGGTGGCTAGTTGATTCCCTCAGAAGATTCTGACGTGGCAGACTGCAAGGGTTCTATCTTCCCATCAACCCCCAAACGGTCCAAGTAAGCGTATAGTATGTACTTTAGGACACTACATACCTACTGAATGGTACTCCCATACCCTAAACCCTTTACCCTAAGCCCTTAATGCGTCAGCGTCGCCTGCGCACAGCCCATACGGAGAAGTTGGACCAAGCCCAACAGCGCCACCTGGTCAACCAGCGGGTGCTGAGAGGTGGGCATACTAGATACTGGATAACCCTATTCAGTGTGTACGTACCTAGAGGCTCATACCCTACCCCTTTTTCAGGGCGCCTACCTTGTAAGATAACAAATCCTAGCCATAAAACCAGATATTCTAAAAAAAGGGTGGGCTATGAGCCTCTAGGTAGGGTTCAGGGTTTATAGGAGCCCAGGTAGCCATAGATACTGGTGAACGCAAGGGGTCCAAAGTACCTAAATGGTAGAATGTGGGGTCTCCATACTAGGAAGTACTGGGCAAGTATCTCCCGGAACAGTACCTGATATAGGGGCCATAATAATTAGAACACGGTTTTGGGGCCCGTTATACTATCAGTATAATAGGGAAACCCAAAAATAGTATTGATAAATATTTTTAGCTCCTATCTTAAACCTGCAAGCAGAACCGTAAGCCCGTGGGCATCATGTACTCTTAAACCCTCAACTTCTAAACCCTGCAAACCCTAAAGCCCTTAACCCAAAAGCCTTGTAGGCCGCAATACGGCACGGTTTGATGATATAAATCCTGCATTACCCATAACAAGGAATATATACCACAATTCCCATAGTTTAGGGTCCTTAAGGTAATGCAGGATTTGTATTATCAACAGTAGTACCCTTACAGCAATCTTTGTAATTTGTCAAAGGAAGCCGAAACAGTCAACTGCGCGGGTGCAAGCGCTTCAAACCCTGAACCCAAAACCCGTAAACCCATAATATCCCTAAACCCTCTAATACCCCTAATACCCCCAATACCCCTAATAACCCTAAACCCTAATCCCCGAAGCCCTAAACCCTAATACCTAAACCTCCAAACCCAAAGCCCCAAGCCTTCCGATGCTTCAAGCGGCGGAGTGAAGATATCTTCTGCATCCACACCTGGGACATACGAGGCCCCGTAAGCCCTGACACCAATTACTTGAGGTGTGCGGTTCAGGGTTTCGGGCTTACGATTCGTAGCGTAAGGCTTAGGCTTTAGGATTTACGGAATTACATAGGGTTCAAGTTTGTGGCTTGCGGTCATGGATTTTGGGTCTGAGGGTTAAGCTGCTTCTTGAGGGCCATAGTGCTAAATGCTTGTCATTTCCTGTCCTGAACCCGTAATCTGCATCCACTTTTCGGGCCATAGTCGTAGGACGGCTTAAAGGGCTTCTATAGGGATTGAAGGTTTCTTGCATCTGTGATTATCCTTGCCCCTTCTCCCTCCGGATTTTCTCAAGCGAAGCCTGTTCGCTACTTACACTGATGGATTTGGGTGGGCCCGCGACGCTCGATTGGGGTTGGGGTTTGGGGGCTTTGGGTTTGGGACTGCCAGTTTAGAGCTTGCGTTTGCAGGGTAGATTTTGGGCTTCCTGCTACCTCTCGACGATGAATAAATGGCTTAGGCTTTATAGCCTATAGGGTCGCTTCTCGGATGAGATATGCCGTAATTCTACATGCATTGCGTTTGACCCGCTTGTTCATTCTCCTGAAACTTGCATCCCTACACCCTAAAATCCCCAAACCCTGGCTTGTCAACCCTTACACCCTAAAACTTAGCAGCTCCAAACCCTGACATTCCTTACAAACTCAATGCCTTAAACCTCAAAGCCCTGTTTTCAAATCTGAAAGAAACCCTATGAAATCTTATAAAGACGGCAAAACAACCTTGTACAACCCTACGCACCTTACCAAAGTCCTTACAAGACCCCATCAAATCCCGCAAACGCCCTTCCATGGAAGCCTGAATCATTAGTACTACATAGTAATACCATTTCCCGACGTTCCATATTCCCGACGCTCCATGTTCCTAGTTCAAGGATGGCATACCTTGGGTACAGCCGGGCCCCTGTAACAGTGACCACAATGAAACCCACAAAAAAAGCACAACTTCTTTATAAGGGGTTCATGCAAAACCTAGATTTACAATTGTCACTGAAAAAAATGGGTGCAGAAAAAATCTGGTTTGTTTCCCTTCCCTGCATAGTTCTGTGATCTGTGCATCGATATTATTTGAGTCCCACCAGCCCCCTGCTTTCCCCTTCTCTTTATGCCATGATCACACAATGTTCGCAGTTGGTGTTTCTGTTCACCTACTCTTGTTATTTCTTTTTTTATGACCACGGAGCCCGAAACAGTGTAGGCCTCATAGTTAGCTGGAATGTCTTAGAATTTATAACTTATAAGTTAATCGACTTCCAGTCATGTAATGTGCCATTTTGGGATATAAACACAGATATTGATATCAATCAATATGAAAGCCACAATGCCGACAATGCCGCTAATCAGAAATTTCGAAAATTAGACCATGACTTCCTGCAGCATGCCTAGAAGAAAGGATGCTGCTGCATCCCCTGAAAACCTGCAACTGAGCATTCACTCAGCACCATAAGTCGTTTCCCTTCTACGCACGCATCGAACATAGACAATCGGCAGACAATGACACTGCACCTTCTTTTTGGGGGGAATGAATTGAGGGGAGAAGGGATGAGTCTAATTAACCCAAACTGCAAGCTGGTGAGGTGCAGGGAGGCCACAGAGGGGGCTGGCCTTGGCCGGCCTGGGGGTGCAGCGAGGCCACAGAGGGGGCTGGCCTTGGCCGGCCTGCAGACCGTGGGGGGTCTGGTGGCCACTTGATCATTTTTAAAGGCGCCGGCCTTTCCCCAGGATTTTGGCAGGTAGATTCCAAATTTTCCTGATTCAGTTGTGCGTTTTTCTGGTTTCAGTTGTGGTTTTTTCTGGATTCAGTTGTGCTTTTTTTGTGGTTGTGATTTGAAGTTTGTGGTTTTTTTGTGGTTGTGATTTGAAGTTTGTGGTTTTTTTTGTGGTTGTGATTTGAAGTTTGTTGTCTGGATTCAGTTGTGCTTTTTTTGTGGTTGTGATTTGAAGTTTGTGGTTTTTTTTGTGGTTGTGATTTGAAGTTTGTGGTTTTTTTTGTGGTTGTGATTTGAAGTTTGTGGTATTTTGGTGCTCACCCACCGTGCCAAGCCACGGCAAAGCACCAGCAAAAGCACAAACTTCAAATCACAACCACAAAAAAAGCACAACTGAATCCAGAAAAAACCACAACTGAAATCTAGTGGTCACAGACACAGAGGTAATTTTGAAAGCTGCTGCTCCTGGCTGCCTGGCAGATTAGCAGAGTTGAGAAATTGCTGCTCCTGGCTGCCTGGCAGATTAGCAGAGTTGAGAAATTGCTGCTCCTGGCTGCCTGGCAGATTAGCAGAGTTGAGAGTTTGCTGCTACTGGCCACTGGCTCCCTTGTACATTGAAAAAGTTCCGGTTTTGCTGCCCTTGCTGGCTGGGAGAAGTAGTAGATTTCAGAGATTGCTGGTACTGCGGAGAGAGGGGAGAGAGGGGAGAGAGGGGAGGGGAGAGAGGGGAGAGAGGGAGGGGAGAGAAGGGAGAGAGGGAGAGTGAGAGAAGACAGGTGGGGGAGAGGGGGGAGAGGAGAGGAGAAGGGGAGGGCAGAGAGGGGAGAGGAGAGAAGGGAGGGAGAGAGGAGAGAGAGGGAGAGAGGGAAGAGCGAGGGAGGGAGGGAGAGGAGGGGACAGAGTCACAGGGGAGGGGGGAGAGGGGAGAGAGGGGAGAGAGGGGAGAGAGGGGAGAGAGGGGAGAGAGGGGAGAGAGGGGAGAGAGGGGAGAGAGGGGAGAGAGGGGAGAGAAGGGAAAGGAGAGGGGAGGAGGGAGGAGAGGGGGGAGAGGGGAGAGAGGGGAGAGAGGGGAGAGAGGGGAGAGAGGGGAGAGAGGGGGGAGAGGGGAGGAGAGGGGAGAGAGGGGAGAGAGGGGAGAGAGGGGAGAGAGGGGAGAGTGGGGAGAGGGGAGACAGGGAGCAACTGTTTTGCCGGAAAAGTAGTTTGGGAAGGCCAACTTGGTCAACTTCCTTGCCCAAAAACAGTTGTGCGTTTTTTGGGGGTGTCTATATAAGGAAATGGTTATTCCACTGTTACAGGAGCCCGGCTGTACCCAAGGCATACCCCCAAACCCAATTCTAAGGACCAAGACCGCCATACTCAGCCCTTGTAGCACCCTTTAAAGGAGCACGGTTCGACGCTCTACTTGGGAGCTTCCGAAAATAGGGGAGACTAACGTAGTACCCTAAATTATGCGATCCTTTTAATAAGGACCCCAAAATCAGTACCCCTAATTTTCGGAAACTCCCACTTATGAAAGGCATCTATATTACTCGCCGGGTCTTTTGTGGGCCTCAAAAAGCTGGGTGGTGACTCCCCGCTGCTCAGTGCATCGGAGGAAAAGCTCCGGGTTGTACCTCCGATGGCTTAGGGAACGCTTTTCGGGGCGTTAAGATTTTGGGCTTAAGGTTTAGTGTTGAAATGCTTCTCACTGCATGCCCAGGTATCAGGTTAGACAGGTGTGTAGTCTGCTTGAAGGGATTGCCGGCACTTGTATAGTTTCCTTCAGGTAGGCTTGTACATGTGTGTTTCCTGTATCCTTTGGCTTAGGGGAAGGCTGCGTAGGAAAGCCTCTTGAGCCATGTGTACTGTAACCAACAACTTGTAAAGCTGTACAGGTCGTTTGTTGGTTTGTCGGTTCTCTTGTTGCTTCGTTGAGATCGTGAGTCGCCTCTGCGCCCAGCCATAGAAAACATTCTGCGTGAGCTTCGCTGCAGGGTATGGCCACCCAGGGTGAACACCTTCAACAGGTGATGAGCCCAACGCCTGGGCCAGAAGCAACCGGAGCGGTGGCTTCTCCGGCCTCTCTGCCTGGAGTGCGGGGAGGCGGGGATGCACCGCAGACTACAGTGAATGGTACAACCGCCGGAGTTGGAGTGCCATCGCCCTCTGGGCTTGCGCAGCCTATTGGGGATGGAATCCAGCAAACTATGATGGATGCGTCGTCGGGGCCATCGACTTCCACAGCTGGTCTAGTGCCATCCCCTCAGCTGCCACAAGAAACTGTTGGAACAGCCGGCCAACCGAGAGTTTCAGCAGTCGGTAGGACAGGAGGCGATGGAACACTAGGCCAGGTTGGAGGCTTGGGCACAGCTGGCGTTACGTATGAAGCAGTATCTACCGCGGAGGTCGCTGATGCGAGTGGGGTGCATGGAGATGCAACTGCAGTGACTCAGGGTTTCAGTGTGGCCACCGAAAGTGGAATGGCTAGCGCTCAGATCAATGTTGCCGCAGGCGTCTCAGGGTACAACCCATCTGCAGCGAATCCTGGAAGTAGTGCTGAGGGCTTTGAAACGCCCAGATCAACGGCGTACGGGGCGTCAGCGGTCATGCAGACTGGGGCTCAGGCTTTTGCTAGTCAGTTGCTAGGAAGAGTGCAGTCTCTGTTTGGTGGCGCGGCGAACGTACAGCCACTGCCGCAAGGGTGGGCTCCCAGTCCACTGACTTCTCCTCCAAGGCCGTCGCGACCACTACAGCCCCTCGAGAGAGGAGGCCGCGTCCTGCAAGATGAGTGTCAAGTGCCGATGCCGTTGTTCACTGGTGCCAACGCGCAGCAGCTTGCTGCCATGGAGCAAAGAGCTCCCTTGCTCTACGGGTCCGGGTCTCCGGACAGGCCTCCGCACACCGAGTCCTCATCTATTCCGCATGATGCGATTCAGGCAGAAGTCGCGCGACAGCTTGATGGGTTGAAGCAGCAACTGCGAGCTGAGCAAGAGAGAGCTGGTCGTGCTGAGGCCGAACTCTCGAGGATTCGGTCTCAGCAGGCTGGTGAAGTTGAGGCTACGGCGTTGCAGCAGGTGGGTACTAGGGAGGTTGGCTTTAGTGGGTTTGGTGATAGTGGGTTCGGTTCGCATCCTGTCGCCAACACTGGGGTTGGATTTGCCCCTTCTTCATCCTCACCGCCTCCTCCTCCGCCTCCTTCCGCTCCCGAGCCTCAGGGCTTCGCTGGTTTGTTCTCAGGGCTCCTTGGTTCCGGTGCGCGGTCTTCCAGCCCTGCACCGCAGAGGCCACAAGCAGAACCCAGAGGCACACTGCCAGCAGGAGCCGCGAGTGCATCAGGACCCACAGATCGTGAGATACTGATTGCTGGGATGCATCAACTTCAAGATGCCATGTCAGAGATGCTCAAGGGATCTCGTGCCGAACGCGATGGCGGCAATTCTCCCACCAACCCTGAAGCTGTTAAGCCAGGCATCTCGAGTTTCCCAGCTTTGGCAGAGCTCACTTCGGATGAAGGGTCTCTTCTGTACCAAGATTGGTTAGTCGTGATTGGGGGTTTGGTCGGTGATGTTTCGGACACAGCAGCAGAGTGGTGGCGTCAGGTTTTGGGTGTGGTTGATACGGCCTATGGGGTTTGGATTTCGTCATCACCCTTGGATAGGCTAAAGGTTGAGCCAGTTGTACCGGCTGAGTTGCTTCAAGGGCGATGGGCGCGTGTCAACTTTAGGATCTGTAGTATGCTTATGGCGGCAGTTCCAGAGTCTATCAAAGCAGACATTGTGGCCCGCAAATGCAATCAATCAGCTCCTTCCATCCTTTTCCGTTTGCACACCACGTACCAACCAGGTGGAGGTTCAGAAAAGGAGGTTATTCAGAAGAATCTCATGCAGCCCACTCCAGCATCTGATCCCTCCTCAGCCGTGAAGTCTTTGCGTGAGTGGATTCGTTGGTACAATCGCTGTGAAAGTTGCAACATGTCACCTCCGGACTCGACCATTTTGTCCAAGAGCCTCACTACCATCACTAGCCAAGTTTTGGCGCAGCATGAAGAAGCGAAGTTTCGAACGTTTATGCTTCGTTCCATGTTAAAAATGGATGCTCAACCAACTTCGTCTGCAGTCCTGGAGTACCACAAGCACTTGCTTGCAGAGATGGAAGCCCTTGCAGTCTCTAAGGCCACAGGTGTGAGTGCCCCTAAGGTTCGAGCTGTAGGCACGCCCAGTCCGGGAACATCTCCAAAGGCCAGTGGGCAGCCGCAGGCTTCAAAGCCCTGCAAGTTTTTCATGGGTACTTCGGGGTGTAGGCGGGGTCCTAAGTGCACGTTTAGCCACGACATGTCAGGACTTTCTCGTCAGGAGCGCAGCAAGAAGTGCTTAGCATGTGGCTCTGAGGCACACCGCCAAAAGGACTGCCCGGTAGCTGGAGGAAGCCCAAAGGGGAAAGGACAGCCAGGTGGAGGAAACACCAACAATGCTGCAGGCCACAGGCCTACAACGGCTGATCAGGCGTCTACTGCAATCCAGCCGGGCGCGAGCCCAGGCCGAGCGGAGGACTTCACAGCGTTTATGCGCATGATGTTTGCAGCTGCCAGTTCTTCCGAAGCCTTTCCTCCTGCATCCACCCCAGCCGCTCCCGCGCAGCCTCCGGCGATTGAAGACAAACCTGCAGCACAGGAGGAGCCTAAAGCGAGCATTAAGACCATCCATCTCACAGCCATTGAGCCTGGGCAGGTTTTGGAAGTAGATGGTAGTCCTAGTTTTTTGGCTTTGGTAGACAGTGGGGCCACTCATGCCCTTCGCGCTGCAAGTTCCGAAGCTGAATGGGCTAGTGCGCAACCCGTTGTCGTGTCACTGGCTGGAAAGGAGACTTCGGCTATGCGTTTGTCTGCTGCTGGTACTCTTCTGTTGCCTCCCACATCTAGTGCCCAAACCATCGTGCCGCTGGGTTCTGTCATCCAGCAGCTGGGGTATCGTTTGGATTGGACTGCCTCGCGATGCCGTTTGATTGCTCCTTCGGGTCGTGCCTTTCGCTTGAGGGTTAAAGGTGGGTGTCCAGAGATCATGGAATCAGAAGCCTTGGTGCTAATCAGCAAGCTAGAAGAAAAGCGGCTAGAGGACTTGAAGTCTCTGGAGGCGAATGTGGCCGAAGGTACCTCTCGCATCCGAGCTGTCAAAGCCTTGATGTCAAAGAGCTGGTGGGATCACATGCAGGACTATGTGAGCCTTGGATCTACCAATTCAGCCCAACTAGCGTTGCAGGCCGCGCCTTTCTTGGCAGATGTTCCCCAAGCAGCTTTGCAGGGACTTGTTGAGGATGTTGCTCAGGTTTCAGGATGGGAGCTCCTAAAGGGTTTGACGCATCTCAATCGGCGTCGCCGTCGTGCATTGCTCAATGCCCCAGAGTGGATTGTTCATCTGTACGCTGGAGCCCCAGGCCCTAAACCCTTTTCGCACCTTGAGTCCAAGAATGTGGCTGTCCTGGAATTGGACATTACCAGAGGCTCAGACCAAGATGTGCTACGCACTCCTGCTTGGCGCGCTCTAGTTTGGGGTGCCGTCCACGGCAAAGTGTCGCATCTTCTTGGTGCTCCACCGCGTGGTACGTTTGACACACATGCTCATGGGAGTAGCGTTGTCCCACCTGTGCGCGGGCCATTGGACTTATATGGCCTTCCAGATTTGTCAGCAGCACAACGGTCGAAGGTTGATCGTGAAACGGCTTTGCTTTGCCGACAGATTTGGTTGCATGCTGTGGCGACTGCAGGTCGCAAGGTTAGGCCGCCAGCTGGAGTTACTAGGCTTGAGGTTGGTTTTCTGCTTGAGCACCCGATGCTTATTGATCGCTACGTGCCTCCTTCGCATGCCTTGTTTGGTCAGGTCCCTAGTTTTTGGAATACTGGACTTTGGAATTCCTATGCCGATGAAGCAGGGTTGTTTGAAGTTCATGTCTACAAGGGGGATTTAGAGCATGTGATAAGTAGGCCTACGACCTTAGGCACGAACTATGGTGATTTGCAGTACCTAGAGACCCTAAGCCTTGACAAGGGTTTGCGTGGTGTCACTGTGCAGGCAGCCGCTGCAGAGCCTGAGAGTGAGAGCAGTGGCATGCCTCATTTGCATCGCAAGTCCCATGAGTCAGCTCGATGGGCCCCTGGTTTTGCCCAAGCCGTGAGCATGAGCATCCAAAACTGGTCTAGGTGGTTCCGCATTGCCAAAACAAAGGCAGACGAACAGGCTTGGAGGGATCATGTGAAGAATAATCACCAACCGTTTCGGAAGGACTGTAGTGTGTGCATCAGAACTGCCGCCTCAGGACGCCGCCACGTTGGTGTGACTCACCCCTCACAGTTCACTCTGTCTGCGGATGTCTGTGGACCTCTGAAGGTGCCAGGTGTTGACCCGGAAGGTAGGTCAAAGGCGCCGAAGAAGTTCAAGTATTTTCTAGCTGCTTCGTATCGCTTTCCTCGTTTGCACGGCATGCCCGAAATTCCAGATCCCTTAGATGAGGTAGATCTCTCCAAGGAGGAGCCGCTGGACGATTTCCTTGAGGGTGCAGGTACAGGGCTAACTGAAGAAGAAGCGAGGGATATCTTAGAGAATCTTAGTGAAGATGATGCCCCACCTCTTCCGCCTCCGCC